GGCGACAAGGCGGCAGCCCCGCCAGCAGAGGCGGGCTCCCACGCGCCCGCGCCCGCGCGCGGGCCGGAGCGAGCTGGGGCGGCGCCGGCTGACGTTGCAGCAGTGCCGACGCGCGGAATTGAGGGGGTGGCCTCTTCGTAGATGAATGCCGCGCAGCCACTGGCGACCGCTGAATGTTGAGTGCGCTCTCCAATTTGTGTGTCCAGCGTGCTGCCCCTCCAAGGCCACCCTGCACATAGGATAAGCATCGCTGGTGCCCTGTGCATCAGCTGGCTGGCTGGCTGTGCTCAGATATCACTTTTCAAAGATGCACAATCCGAGGTGGTTAGTTTCAGCTGTGTTGCGGCCCAAATTGTCTGGGATCCTCCTCGTTGCCAAAAGCTGTGTTTACCGCACCTGCTCCCTAGTCATGGCTGGGGTGTCGTTGCTCCCAAATCCCCGCTCCCTTGTTTCCTGCCAAACAACCCGGGCTGCCTGCTGACATGCAGCATTCGGCATGAGTGTATGTACTTCTCAGCCATGACCACACTTCCACTTTGCACCTGTATGTCAGGCATGAGTGTGGGCCGGTACAGACTGCTCATGTTCTTGTGTTCTACAACCCATTGCACCAGCAGTTGAGACCACGCGCATCAACTTGCAACCGCTGCTTACACAAATGTTCTAGGTTGCGTGATTTGATCTTGACTCGCATGTGTGTGATGATGTAGATCCTGCAGCATGATCATACGTGGCTATTTCAAACGTGTTGCCAGCCAGCCACTCTGCAACCCTCCACACAGGCAAAAACGCCGTTGCTGGGCAACACCTGCGCATGCGGCAATGTGAGTCAATTTGGATGTCTGGTGTCGTTGGTTTGCAAGATTGCAACATTCACGATGCAGAAAGAACTTAGCAGTCCAGAACAAGATTCAGGCCAGTCCATTTCAAAATCACTTCGCTGGTATGCAGATCGACAGTGATCATCTGCATTGACCGCGAGAATGGGCGAAAAGCACACGCAACGGCATCAGCCCAGGTAAGGCCACCTAACACCTGTGGTGGGGCCGCCCGCTTGGGTGATTGAGTGGACGCGAGCTGTATCACCTTGGGGCTATGTCACCCGCAGAACTTTGTCGCGTGATCATTCCAGAAACAAGCACAAGCAGCTGCCCAGTTGCATGCAGATCGCACGGACGCTCCCATCACAAGTGTCGAGCGCCACAAGGAGCCGCGGGCGGCGCCTCAGGCGGTCTGTCGATTAATGCGCGTGCACACCCATGAAGGTGGGTGCACTGCGGCCCTGCTACGCCTCGAGTCTCTCTCTCCCTCTTTCTCGTCAACCGATCGTAGTTGTTGTGCTAGTGCCTTTGCCGCCCCCGCATCCTCACAGGCAGTCGCCGCACTAGCTGCAGCCGCCATGTGCCCTGAAAAGAATTGGAAGCAGGCTGCTGACCGAGCACCGAAGCAGCCCGCCGCCACGCTAGCTCGCGTGGGCCATTGCCGCGCTCTTCCCTCTCATGAGTTGTGCCCTGTACTACGCGTAGAGGCGGCCAAAGACGCGGCCAGTGAGTGCATATGCCATCAGCGCAGGCGCGGCTGCGTCCATCACGTTGACCTGGGGGTCGAGCGCCACCGCAAAGCCCTGGGGAGGCGCGGGCGCGGGGTTGGGTGCGAGCGGCATTGGAACATGTGAGCGCGCGCGGTGTCACTGTGCGCATGGATGTGGGGCTTTCAAGTAGTGTGTGTGTGTGTGTGAGCGTGCGTGCGTGCGTGCATGTATACGTTTGTGTGTGTGTGTGTGTGTGTTTGTGTGTGTTTGTGTGTGTGTGTATGTATGAATGTGTGTGTGTGTGTGTGTGTGTTGCATGGGGTGTTTGCACGGGCGCCTGCACATGTGTGAACAAGTGCGTGCATGTGCAAACAAGGATGCTAGGGTGCGTGTACACCAATAAAGCAGGCCGGCGCTAGTGCAATTCCTGAAAGCAACGTACAGAGCCTGTGCGGCAGGCGTCCTACGCCGACGCCTGACCCCACGTAGTCAGTGACACCGCACAACAAGCAGCGAGGGGGCAGTCCAGGCACCGGTCGGCGGCAGTCCAGGCTCACCGTGATGACGCAGACCGAGATCACCAGGCTGGCGTAAGCGGAGTCGATGGAGACCTCGTAATGACGCGCCAGAGCCAGGACGCCCTGGGCGGTTTGTGAAAGGGGAGGCGGGCGGTTTGTTTGGAAGGCGAAGGGGCTGGCCGCGTCGCGACACGCGTTAACAGCACTCCTGGACTTGGGCTCTGATGGTCCAGGTGCGATCTAAACGAATGCTATATCATTTGCATATGCATCATGCAGAAAGGTCGTGTGCGCGCACCTGGCCCAGTGAATGTGCGCAAGCTCTCACGCATGATCGTGTGCACGCGCAGACACACACACACACACACACACACGCTCTCTCTCTCTCTCTCACACACATACACACACACGCACACACTCACATGCGCACACACACACACACACACACACACACACACACATCCGCAAGCGCCCTCCTGTCAGTTCCCACCTGCAGCACTGCGTCCAGGTCGATCCCGCCCTTGCAGTGGACATCGGCCTCCCGCCTGAACAGCTCCGCCATGGCCCCCTCGAACGCCAGGGGGTCGGGGCACCCCTGCACGCGCGACCACCGCAGCAGGTGGCGCGCGGCCGTGGCGCCATCGCCTGCGGGCGAAGCAGGAAGATCAAGAAGGGGCGGGCGACGACATGCGCAGGCGACTGTAAAATAATGGACGTGGACCACACACAACCCGCCTAAAGTGGGGCTGAAGTACAGACACAAACACGCCCACACTCTGCATTTCAAACCCGCCGACCCAGGCAGCCCGAGCGGCACCGCATGGCACCATTTGACCATCGCGATGAATCAATCTGCCAGCATGCGTCCCAGCCCAGCCCGTCGCGCCCCACCTGCCACAATCTGGTTGAGGAAGCTGAGGAAGCGGTACCTGACCTCGGGCGTCAGCTCCTCCGCCAGTCCAAAGTCCAGCAGCACCAGCCGCGCCCGCTCCCTCGCTGCTGCCGCGCCCTCGCCCTTGGTGCCGCCTCCGTCTCCGCCGCCTCGGGTAGGTTGAGAGCTCCTGTCGCAAGCTCGCCCCTGCTGCTGCTGCTGCTGCTGTGAGTGTGTGTCGGGTTGTGACATCACCATGATGTTTCCTGGGTGCAGGTCTGTGTGCACAAAGTTGTCCTGGAGCAGCATCTTCATGTAGCAGTCCACCCCTATGGCCACGATCTTTGCGGGACAAAAGGGAGGCCAAATGTTGTGAGGGGCGAGTGGAGTGAGAGCGGGATGGGCAGCAAGATGCGATGCAAACAATGACAGGGAACGCGTGCGCTGCGCGCGCGCACACACACTCACTCACACACACACACACACGCACACACACACACACACACATGCGCACACACACACACTCTCCCACTCACGCCCGTGCACACACAAACATACATATGCACACCCTCTTACACACACACACAACATCCCTGCAATCAAGCGAATAAGCCCCAGAGCCCGCCGCAACCAGCAGCGACGCTCCCCACGCCTATTGGGATCCGCACCTCTGTATTCAAAGGCGTCGGCTGGCGCATGTACTTGGCCACCCCCGCCCCTGCCATCCACTCCATCGCATACACACTCTCTGACACCAGGCCGGGTATGGGCCGCGGCACACCAATCGTGTCGCGCACGCCTGTGCGGCCAAAAAGCGGCGACAGGCTAGGGTCAGCGGTGCAGGGGCAGTGAGGGGGAGTGTTGCGTACGCGCCCCGCAAAGTAAGGGGGGTTCTCGCGCGGCTCAAAAGCGTTGCAGGTTGAGTGGGTAGGGCCGACGGCAGCGACGGCAGAGCCGGGGAGCCGTGCTCACAAGCT